TCGATCCCGGACCATTTGCCACTCCATCATATCCACCCCAAGGTGAATGTTCTCACCCTTTCAACAGGCGGATAGATGAAGAGTTTGTTTAGCCTGAACAGGATCCGATCTAGGATACCCTGCCAGACCTGAGTGCGGTAACGGCGCCAGTTCCCACTGCTGCAACCACACCTCTGCAAAATCCTTTGGCTCTGTACTGCGTTTACTCGCATGTTTCGTACTTATGTATGCAGAAAGAACCTACATAAGTCAATATTTTCCTTTGTGTTTCCTCGTTGAAATCGCCTTTACCAATGAACATCTTCTCCATCAATATCAGCGGTTTAAGTAAACGCCAATGATCAATTCCAAAACACTTACATTTTGGCAATTTCTCAAAACTCTTTTTGGAGCCACAAAAGGCCCTCGTTCTGTTTCCACTTCCTTCACTGAAGCAGGATCCTACAAGTCACTTTCAATGCGCTTTGCAGGGTTGAAACGAAATTTTTACAAGTCGAGGTCATTGATTATTCTTACTTTACAATTTCCTTACAAAATTCTAATGCATAAGTTTTCCTCGATTAATTTTAGATTCATCGAACATGACGCACTTCCAAATGTCATTTCTCAGAAGGAAAATTTTGCTAATTAATTAAACCAATTCGCTTGCAAGTCGTGGATTATACCAGTTAAACATTTGTAGTATTAAAGTTTCGGTTTCAAAAAAGTGCGACTTCTACAGGTCCAAATAGGGGCATCGTTTATAACATTAACGAAAGTTCACTATCGGCACTTGCTTCCTACGGTGATCCGGCTATGGGTCCTGGCTAGAAAGAATGGTGGTGATGCAATACATCCCTTGGCCAGCCTACCCCCACAAACTGTGTCCCTGCCCAGAATCCCTTTCCGTAAACGTGGTTCTATAAAAGTTTCTGTGAATTCAAATAGGGTTATGTCGTTAAATGAAATGTGTCGTCTATGAAATTCTGCGTCCATCGCATTTTATTTCACGGTTAGGTTACTGTAAGAACCGGGTGCTCATGAAGGATTTCCATTCCTGTCCATCTATATCCCAACGTTCTCGCAATCATTTATTGGTAGTCTCAACTTGAGTTTAAATCAATTCCACCTTTTCATCAAATCAATTTCGTTCGTTTTTGCTAGGAAACATTTGAAGTGGACGAAAGTACTACTACTTTTCGCTGTGCTTAACATTTTCTTTATTTTATGTTGTGCACTACCATTCGGAGTTACTCTTACAGGGATACAGACTTCCCCATGTATTCACCTGATCACTGGTCGTACAGGGATACAGACTTCCCCATGTATTCACCTGATCACTGGTCGTATGGGCTACGAAACGAGAGATGCAATCGTAGGTTTAAAATCGTTCTCTGATCTTTGATTATTCCTGTTTTCCTTTTATTACATCTTCATGTTGTGGTAGATCGATTTCAAGATATTTTGTGAATTCTACCTCGAAAGATTACTTGTTATCATAAACAACCCATAGATTCACTTGGACGGAACTAGCACCCATTCCAGAACTGAAACCTTTCTGTTAAGCCTCTTGGTGGAGTACCATCATTGATGACAAGGAACCTAGACATCGAAGTGGGAAGGTGCGCTACTGAAAGATCCCTAGCTTGCCCTCTGACCTAACACAACTCTACCCACTCACGCTACCCTTTCCTAAAAGCACCAGTACAAGGGGAATCGATCGGATAGTTTGACCCTGAATCAATATCCCCTGGAAGGTCTTGAGGGGAAATGCGCATTTTGCTCTATTTCTCCTTCCGTGAGTAACCATAACGCCTAAATGGAAAACGTAATACTGTCGGGGTTACCAAATTGTTATGCACATCATGTCTGGCGGGCGCTGCCGACGTACTCCATTGAAAAACATTGATCGGCAACCGTCAGAGAAAAAGACCTTGCGACAGGATCATCCATCAGTCATGGCAAATATGAACGATGAGAGAAAAGAAAAAGCGACACGCAATAAATTACATCTTCCGCTGTTGTAAATATCGATGACAGAATTGTAAATGGGGGTCTTCACTGTCTGCGGCCGGATTTTCGTCTTTGGTCGTGACCTGGAGAAGGTTTTT